AAAAGAAATACTTTATCAATTTTTAATGAACTTAGCGTATTTGGGTCGAGATTAAATATGATTTTGTTTACAAAATATACATATATTAATGAATACAACACAAAAATTCACATATTTTATTAAATTAAATTAAATTTTAATTTTGTTATTTAAATAGAATACAACGATGAAACAAATTAAATATAAATTCGTGTATACATGGCGTACTTTTTGTTTTTGGTTAATAGGTAAGAACGTGTATTCAAATGTTTATAGAACATATTTCAATTTGTTTACAATATTTAAAATTGTAGATAATTCTCATAATAAGTTGTTTAACCTAAAAAAACTTGTTTAAGTAAATATGTATAATTCGCAGGAAAACATTCACAATTTGTTTTCCTAATAATAAATAAATGCGCAAAAAAATTAAAAAAAAAATTATAAATTATTTTTTTATGTTGAAAAAGAAAATTCGCTTTTCGATAAAAAATAAAATTTGTATAAAAAAGTGATAATTTATCCAATACGAAATCTTTTTATCGAGGCGTGTATTCAAATGATTAGTTCAGTTTTAGATCATTTGTAGTTCAGTTCTAGTTCAGTTCAAGTTCTAGTTCAGTTCTAGTTCAGTTCTAGTTCAGTTCTAGTTCAGTTCTAGTTCAGTTCTAGTTCAGTTCTAGTTCAGTTCTATTTCAGTTCTAGATCAGTTCTAGATCAGTTCTAGTTCAGTTTCTAGTTCAGTTCTAGTTCAGTTCTAGTTCAGTTCTAGTTCAGTTCTAGTTCAGTTCTAGTTCAGTTCTAGTTCAGTTCTAGTTCAGTTCTAGTTCAGTTCTAGTTCAGTTCTAGTTCAGTTCTAGTTCAGTTCTAGTTCAGTTCTAGTTCAGTTCTAGTTCAGTTCTAGTTCAGTTCTAGTTCAGTTCTAGTTCAGTTCTAGTTCAGTTCTAGTTCATTCTAGTTCAGTTCTAGTTCAGTTCTAGTTCAGTTCTAGTTCAGTTCTAGTTCAGTTCTAGTTCAGTTCTAGTTCAGTTCTAGTTCATTTCTAGTTCAGTTCTAGTTCAGTTTCTAGTTCAGTTCTAGTTTATTTCTAGTTCAGTTCTAGTTCAGTTCTAGTTCAGTTCTAGTTCATTTCTAGTTCAGTTCTAGTTCAGTTCTAGTTCAGTTCTAGTTCATTTCTAGTTCAGTTCTAGTTCAGTTCTAGTTCAGTTCTAGTTCAGTTCTAGTTCAGTTCTAGTTCAGTTCTAGTTCAGTTCTAGTTCAGTTCTAGTTCAGTTCTAGTTAAGTTCTAATTCAGTTCTAGTTCAGTTCTAGTTCAGTTCTAGTTCAGTTCTAGTTCAGTTCTAGTTCAGTTCTAGTTCAGTTCTAGTTCAGTTCTAGTTCAGTTCTAGTTCAGTTCTAGTTCAGTTCTAGTTCAGTTCTAGTTCAGTTCTAGTTCAGTTCTAGTTCAGTTCTAGTTCAGTTCTAGTTCAGTTCTAGTTCAGTTCTAGTTCAGTTCTAGTTCAGTTCTAGTTCAGTTCTAGTTCAGTTCTAGTTCAGTTCTAGTTCAGTTCTAGTTCAGTTCTAGTTCAGTTCTAGTTCAGATCTAGTTCAGTTCTAGTTCAGTTCTAGTTCAGTTCTAGTTCAGTTCTAGTTCAGTTCTAGTTCAGTCTAGTCAGTTCTAGTTCTAGTTCTAGTTCAGTTCTAGTTCAGTCTAGTTCAGTTCTAGTTCAGTTCTAGTTCAGTTCTAGTTCAGTTCTAGTTCAGTTCTAGTTCAGTTCTAGTTCATTCAGTTCTAGTTCAGTTCAGTTCTAGTTCAGTTTCTAGTTCTAGTTCTAGTTCAGTTCGTCTAGTTCAGTTTCTAAGTTCAGTTCTAGTTCAGTTCTAGTTCAGTTCTAGTTCAGTTCTAGTTCAGTTCTAGTTCAGTTCGGGTTCAGTTTAGTTCAGTTCTAGTTCAGTTCTAGTTCAGTTCTAATTCAGTTCTAGTTCAGTTCTAGTTCAGTTCTAGTTCAGTTCTAGTTCAGTTCTAGTTCAGTTCTAGTTCAGTTCTAGTTTTCAGTTCTAGTTCATTCTAGTTCAGTTCTAGTTCAGTTCTAGTTTCAGTTCTAGTCAGTTCTAGTCAGTTCTAGGTCAGTTCTAGTTCAGTTCTAGTTCAGTTCTAGTTCAGTTCTAGTTCAGTTCTAGTTCAGTTCTACTTCAGTTCTAGTTCAGTTTTGTTCAGTTCTACTTCAGTTTTGTTCAGTTCTAGTTTAGTTTTGTTCAGTTCTAGTTCATATTTAGATCTAGTTCAGTTCAAGTTAAATCACTCTGAAGAATAATTCATAGTTTATTTCTTGAAATAAGATATATCACCTATAAAACATAATGTTTAAATAACACTATCAATATTATACATTATTGATTGCATTAATATATTTTTAAAAGTCAACAAAATAATATTTACATATTTAATATACATAACATATACTTACATACAATTTATACATACATACATACATCTATTGTAAATATGAATACATGTAAATACATATGTATGTAAAAGTCTATAAATATAGTGTCACGAAAGAACCCCCCAGTTTTTGCTAATAATTTAGGTTAATCTATGTTTTAAATTTCCCCCCTCAATAGCCACTGCATAAAATAATGATAAAGCAAAGCAAATTTAAGAAGGAAACCTTTTCATTCACATATTTATACTTACAAGCGTTTAAATGAATATGTATGAATTGAGAATGGATGTCATGGATACATTTTCTTGAAAATGTGTAAAACAAATAAACATACAACAAAGAATTGCAAAACTACCCTCTGAATTAAGTTTGGTATGGCATAAAGTTGCATGTTACATGCAAGTTTTGTATAAAAACCATTTTACCATACAAGTTGATAAATTAGCAAAAGACGGTAGAGTTAGTTGGTTACATATCAGACTATATATGAGAGTCATCTGAAAAGTTATTGCAAAATGTTATTTTACATTTAACCTTATAGAGTAATTTATAATTAAAAAAAAAAAAAAAAAAATGAAAATTATATACCGTTTCCTAAATGTTAACTATAAACGGACACTAAAGTTAATATTTTATATTCTTAGGAAATTCAGTAAATTAATATTAGTTTTCTTTAAAAAATTTTAATTTTCACCCTCGTATACATTTTGTGTTCTTGCTTATGTGTATTTAAAACATTGTTAAATTATTGCGGAAAATGTGAATCAAGGGACAAATAAATTCATTAAATATTTATTAATAAGAAACGTGGGCAAATAAGAACATAAAAAAATTAATACAAATTTAGGAGTTGATCGATAAATTTAAAAATGGCAATACAAATTGTTTATTTATGCGTGCCAACATGAATGTAACAATAACACATTAAACTTTTATTTATTATCCCGATGAAATATATTATATAGTATATTGTAATATTATATTAAATAGTACACTAGCGGCCGGTTAATTTGCTTATCCACGATTTTTTAGACATTAATTATACTATTTCATTTCTATTTCAATTCTAGCTTAGTTCTAGTTCAGTTCTAGTTTAGTTCTAACACAGTTCTAATTTAGTTCTAGTTAAGTTCTATGTAAGCTCTAGTTCAGTATTAGTTCAGTTCTAATTTACATTTAGCTTAGATCTAGTTAAGTTCTAGTTCAGTTCTAGTTTAGTTCTAGTTCAGTTCTAGTTCAGTTCTAGTTCAGTTCTAGTTCAGTTCTAGTTGAGTTCTAGTTCAGTTCTAGTTCAGTTCTAGTTCAGTTCTAGTTCAGTTCTAGTTCAGTTCTAGTTCAGTTCTAGTTCAGTTCTAGTTCAGTTCTAGTTCAGTTCTAGTTCAGTTCTAGTTCAGTTCTAGTTCAGTTCTAGTTCAGTTCTAGTTCAGTTCTAGTTCAGTTCTAGTTCAGTTCTAGTTCAGTTCTAGTTCAGTTCTAGTTCAGTTCTAGTTCAGTTCTAGTTGAGTTCTAGTTCAGTTCTAGTTCAGTTCTAGTTCAGTTCTAGTTCAGTTCTAGTTCAGTTCTAGTTCAGTTCTAGTTCAGTTCTAGTTCAGTTCTAGCTCAGTTCTAGTTCAGTTCTAGTTCAGTTATAGTTCAGTTATAGTTCAGTTATAGTTCAGTTCCAGTTCAGTTCTAGTTCAGTTCTAGTTCAGTTCTAGTTCAGTTCTAGTTCAGTTCTAGTTCAGTTCTAGTTCAGTTCTAGTTCAGTTCTAGTTCAGTTCTAGTTCAGTTCTAGTTCAGTTCTAGTTCAGTTCTAGTTCAGTTCTAGTTCAGTTCTAGTTCAGTTCTAGTTCAGTTCTAGTTCAGTTCTAGTTCAGTTCTAGTTCAGTTCTAGTTCAGTTCTAGTTCAGTTCTAGTTCTAGTTCTAGTTCAGTTCTAGTTCAGTTCTAGTTCAGTTCTAGTTCAGTTCTAGTTCAGTTCTAGTTCAGTTCTAGTTCAGTTCTAGTTCAGTTCTAGTTCAGTTCTAGTTCAGTTCTAGTTCAGTTCTAGTTCAGTTCTAGTTCAGTTCTAGTTCAGTTCTAGTTCAGTTCTAGTTCAGTTCTAGTTCAGTTCTAGTTCAGTTCTAGTTCAGTTCTAGTTCAGTTCTAGTTCAGTTCTAGTTCAGTTCTAGTTCAGTTCTAGTTCAGTTCTAGTTCAGTTCTAGTTCAGTTCTAGTTCAGTTCTAGTTCAGTTCTAGTTCAGTTCTTGTTCAGTTCTAGTTCAGTACTAGTTCAGTTTTAGTTAAGTTCTAGTTAAGTTCTTGTTCAGTTCTAGTACAGTTCTAGTTCAGTTCAAGTTCAGTTGTAGTTCTAGTTCTAGTACATTTCATTTCAAATTCTGTTCAAGTTCATTTCTAGTTCAGTTCTAGATCAGTTTTAAATCAGTTCTAGTTCTCTAGTACCTTTTGATGCTAAGAAAACAGATAGTGGCCAAAATTCGTTTAGATGAAAATTTTGTGGACTGACCTGTTGCCTTTATAATATGTCCATTTAAAAAATTAATATTTCGTCTAGAGTATAATCCATATCTAATTATTAAAAATAATTAAAATATTAACATAAAACTTTTTGTACTTACCTTGATATGTCTGTTTCAAAAATGATTTCTTTTTGTCGATTATAAAGCAATTTAATTCAAATCAATTAGGACGATGTCAATCAGATTTGATGTTGTCAATTTGTATATTTTATGTTTAGTTTTTACCTCTTCTGTACGGAGAGGATGGGCAGGCAGTGATTGACAAAACGTTGATTAATTCAATTTTATTTTTTAACAACAAATAACAATATTTGCTGTTCTATTTTTCAGCTCTAATAATGAAGAAAAAAGAACAAATTGCACTTCAGATTCATAATAATAGAAAAGATGACAACCGGAAGATTTATAATGCGGGTTAAAATGATGGAGAGAAAATTGTGATTGAGAATGATTGTATATAAAATCTCGATTAACATACATCAAAAACTCGTAATAAAAATTCACACACTCACTCACTCACGTAAACTTAAAAACAAAAAAAAACTCAAGTAAGATATAAAACAACAACAATAACTAAAATACAGTTCAACGAACATTGACACTTTCAATGTTTTATTTTTTTGTAATTTTTTCTTTTCTTGTGTCTACTGTAAATAATGCATCATGCATTGCACACTTTTAAGATTTTGTTTCGAGAAAAAAAAAGGCCAAATAATAAATCTATTATATGGTGGAATACATAGTATGTGAAGATGATGGCAGCAAAGGGTATCAAGGATATTTATTTTTAAATTTATATTTTCTTCTTCAAAACTGCAGACTAAAAATATCACACGAAAAATTAAGGGGACGCAAAACGTTGATGACGATGAGTAATCAGCCTGTAATATTTTCTTATTTTTTTTTCACACAATATATTTTTAGTACATTATATTTAATTTTCCAATTGTATTGTATTTGCTTGCCCATTAAGAAGTATTATTTAATATGTATGCATATTTTTGGGTTTTTTTCGGTAATCACTCACACAAAATTTGTACTTTTTGTATCTTTAGTAGTTGAACAAACAACCCACCTTTTTCCACTTAAAAAAAAACACACACACAAACACAGTTTCTCTTTAAACAAAATTGTAAATATGAAATTATTTCTTCAAAAAAGTAATTTGTTTATAATTAAAATACTATTGTCATAAGATTGAATGAAAATGCAATTCGTAGATAAGAATGAAAAACTCAATAAAATTAAATAAAATCCACTTAAAAAATATATATATTTTCTCGTAATTAAACAATAAGAACTTGACGTTTAACACCGCACATGAATTTTATCGAACTAAACACAAAAGAAGAAGAAAGAAATAGACAAAAAGAAAATTAACGAAGAAAATGCGTAGAAAACAGTGATGCCAGATGAATTAAGGAAATTTCGTTAAGATATTGCTATTTTGCAGTTACCAGATGTTTTTATATTTTGGTGTTATTTGTGATAAAAAGAATACACAATTTAGGGTTCTATAAATCGACTTTCGAATAATCGAACAATCGACTTTTTGTCGAAAAAAGTCGAAAAGTCGAAGTCGACTATTTTGTTCCAAAAAAGTCGAAAAGTCGACTTTGTAAATAAAAGTCGAAAAGTCGACTTTGTAAATAAAAGTCGTAAAAAGTCGAAAAGTCGGAAAGTCGAAAAAAGTCGAAAAGTCGAAAAAAGTCGATAAGTCGAAAAAAGTCGAAGAAAGTCGAAAAAAGTCGAAAAGTCGGAAAAAGTCGAAAAGTCGAAAATTTTAAAAAAGTGGAAAAGAGGTCAAAAACTCTAAAATAGTCGGAAAAACTCGAAAAAAGTAAAAAATAGTCGAAAAAAGTCGAAAAAAAGTCGAAATAAGTCGAAAATAGTCAAAAAGTCGTAAAAAATCGAAAAGTCGGAAAAAGTCGAAAAGTTGAAAAAAGTCGAAAAAAGTCAAAAAAAGTCGAAAAGTCGAAAAAAGTCGGAAAAAGTCGAAAAGTCGAAAAGTCGACCATTTATAAAATATTAAAAGTCGAAAAGTATAAAAGTCGACTTTTAAATAAATGAAAAAGGTCGAAAAATCGACTTTTCATAAAATGGAAAAAGTCGAAAGGTCGAAAAGTCGACTTTTAACTAAATGCAAAAAGTCGAAAAGTCGACTTTTCGTTTCAACTATAGAACCCTAACACAATTCTCTATAGAAAACTGTCTAGAGAAGACAATTTTTATATAGAAAACTGTTAAGAAAAGACAATTAAAGACAGAAAACTATGTATAAGCACAGGGTAGCCACAGGTTTGGTAATTTTTGCTATCGAAAAATACCACAGTACTACCACGACATTTTCGTTGCTATATCTAACTTTTAACAAATATTCCACATAGTAGTTAATATACCACCATAGTCTAGCTTATAATCTAGTCTATAATTTAGTCCATAATCAAGTCTATACTCTAGTGCATATTCTAGACTACAGTCTAGTCAGAAATTCGATAAATTTATCCCACAGGAATGTGCTCTGTACTACTAAAGCTGCTACTACACATACACTCTTCCTTTGAAAATTAATTGTTTTCATTTAACAAAAGTATTTTGTTTTTATATTTTAAAAGTAAAAAAGTCAAACTTTTATTATCTCTACCAGACCACACTCTTAAAACATGCGAATATCTGTACGCCTTTCGAGAACTTCAATACAAGTTTTAGGTTTAAAATTTACAATGCCAACTTCTTTTAAAGCCTTCATTTTATCCTCCAGGGAATTGTTAGTAGCCTGAAGATTTTCGTGCAACAGTAAGGCAGTACCGCGAGCAGCATTCAACAGTTTATTGGCATCATGGATTCTGAAATTTAAAAAGAAGCAATAAAACTTGTTCACATTTTTTTTAAAAATAATTCTACTTTTTAAACAGTAAATCAGGTCGCCGGCAGTATTGTCCAAATAGTGCAAACAAATTACGTGTCATATCGTAATTAAATTGTGCCGCTCCAGCTGGTGAGAATTTCGTATTCATGATCATACTATCCAGCATATAATCATCAATTTGTTGGGCTATAAGCCTTAAAGTTAAATTGAATAGATTAGCCGAAAGTTCCCTTTCTAAATTATGCAAAACGGTAACCATAACTTGAAACATTTCGCCAGCACTGGGTGAGAGTATAAATGGTTCCTTAGAATTTTGTTCGGGCATTGAAGGCCAACAATCGTGTCTATACGGCATTGATTTAGCTTTGATTTCATTGACAGCTTTGGTGGCTAGATTCTTTAAAAGTTGTTGAGTCCAATGCTCTAGTTCCTCCACGGGGTGTTCAAACACCGAGCTGATTTCTTCGGCATTAGGACCTACCAAGGCGGCATGCAAATGTAGATAATGGACATTTTCACCCCATTCACTGAGTACCATTTTTATGTAATTTATGGCATTTAATATAGTTATACTTTCCACAGAACCACTGCTGTGCAGTTGCACCAGTCTACGACGAAAGTTATCTATTAATTCCAATTGTAGGGTAAGAAATTGTAATTGATGTCCTGGTTGTATAAGAGAATAATAACGATCTTTTATAGCCTCCAGTAGGCGTATAAATTGATCAGCACATTTGGGAATTTTTAATTCATCATCGTAAATATTGGGATCGATTAGTTGCCAGGGATTTTCAGCCTGCAGTATCATATCCATTTTCTCAGAACAAACTGAAAATGTAGTTTTAATTCAATTTTAAACAAATGTTTTATAAAAACCTCCAACTTACAGCGTTCTTCTAAGGAAATCCATTTTAGCAAATAAACTGGTTGGGTAACAACACATATAGCACTGGTAAAACTGGCGGGATAGCCAAAGTTCTCTCTTAACTCTGCTTCAAAAGCCAAAGTTTCATCTAATAAATGGGCAAATAGATTTTCATCTCGACTTATTTCTTCTATATCTAAGGCCAATTTTTCTATGGTTAGTTGCACTAAACCACGCATAAACTCAAGCTGTTAATATGTTGATAATAATTATAAATTTTAACCATTTTAAATACATTACCACTTACCCTTATGTTGAAATCTAGTTTACCAGCTTTAACGGCAGCTGGTTGAAATGTTTTGCCCACAAACAAGTGTGTCTCTTTGCCCCAGTTTAGTATTTGAGTATAAAACCATTCGGGTTTATCCAAACGATTAGTTTGTTTAACGCCCGTGAAATGATACATGAATCTTAAAAGGTGATTATTTAAAAGAAAATTACATACATACATATTTGAAAAGTATTAATAATCTATACCTTTGTCTGTAGGGCGCCAATAAGTATTTGGTAACTGTTGACATGGGCTGACATATTATACTGGATGTAATCATTTCCAAAGGTTCTGTTTCTTCTGCTGGTGATTTTAACTAAAAAGAAAAGCTGATGTTAAAAGGAATTTAACTATATGGAACCAAACTATAATATAGAACCGAACTAGGACAAAACTATAACTCAACTAGAACTAATTAGATCTAAGCTGGAACTTAATCAGATTTTAATAGCTTTTCAATTATGATTTTTTTAATACTTTACCAAAAATAAATATTCTGCCAACAATTGCGCCTTATTGATGTTATCCATTGAAGGTTTATAATTTAAGGGATCCTGTTCTTTTTGTCCCCATTTCATAGATTTTAGAACATTTTCAAATTCTCTAAAATTGTTTTCTACTATTAACGAAACGAATATTTTATTAATACAAAAGAACTTACTTTGTAAATCGCTCTTTTAATAAACCATGCCAATGTATGGCTGTGCGTATGGCAAAAGATTTAAGAAACGGAGCCTCTACGCTGCTTAAACGTCCTATAACGCTATGTTCATAGTCACTTTCTTCATAGAGATTTAAATATAAATTTATAAGTTTGGCTTCGTCTTTGCCGTTAAGGGATTGGGTAAGGGAATGACTACAAAATAAGTACATTAAGGTTTAAGATTACTTGTAAATGGAAGATATTATACAAACACTTACCTTATTTCCTGTATATCCTGAACTATACGTAAATACTGTACTAATTGCTGTAACTTGCGTACTTGCTCCAAGTCTGGTTTTACCCCCTTAAATGCATTATTCGATTCTTTAATGCGAGCGGCAAGTTTCTTGCCAAACTGTTGCAGTTTGGTCATTTGGAAATCAATACTATCACAGGCCTGCTCTTTCGTCTCGATGGCCGATCTAAAACTGGACACATTTTGTTCAGATGCATAGTTAAGCTAATGGTTAAAATTAATGCATTAATATATTATTAAATTTAAATAGTTGATATTTTTAGGTAGTACCTTATCTTTAAGTTTTTCTAAGCGCTGCTTGTAGTCCTCTACCAAAACTGAGGCTCGGTGCAACTTTTTAAAGTCACTACCGATTTCCTGATTAACTCTAGCCAAAATGCGTTCTTCTACACTGAGTTTTGTTTGCATTTTGAGCTTTAAAAGCCTTAATTATTAAAATAAAAACACTAATATTGAACACGACAACAAAAATTTTTTAAACAATTTACACGAAAACAAAAAAATATTATATGACGTCTTCCTGATTGAATGTTGTCATAGGTAAAGAGTCGGAGTGGAACGTTAAATATAAAAAATTCCAATTTTCTCACATATATTCAGTTTTTATACACTATTTTACACATACTTTCTTATTTTTTACTTTATTTTGACATTTCTAGTGGTCCTTTGACAGTTGAGTTTCACCTCTTGTTATTGTTTTTAAATATTGACATTTTGCTACAGCTGTTTAAAGCGGTGATGCCAGCTAGTAGTAAAATGTAAACACTAAATATTCGAAAGAAAATAATTATTAAAAAATTAAAAGTTTTAAACGAACCTTTAAATAAATTACTTTTATTTTTTCTCCCCTCTGTATTTATTATTAAATAATAATTTAAACTTATTTTAATATACGTTTTCAAAGATTTTTTTTTATAATTTTTAATGTATCTGAATTAGGGTTCTATAAATCGACTTTCGAATAATCGAACAATCGACTTTTTGTCGAAAAAAGTCGAAAAGTCGAAGTCGACTATTTTGTTCCCAAAAACTCGATAACTCGACTATCGTCTATGAAAAAAGTCGAAAAGTCGACTTTGTAAATAAAAGTCGAAAAAAGTCGAAAAGTCGAAAAAAGTCGAAAAGTCGAAAAAAGTCGATAAGTCGAAAAAAGTCGAAGAAAGTCGAAAAAAGTCGAAAAGTCGGAAAAAGTCGAAAAAAGTCGAAAAAAGTCGAAAAAAGTCGAAAAAAGTCGAAAAGTCGAAAATAGTCGAATATTTTAAAAAAGTGGAAAAGAGGTCAAAAACTCTAAAATAGTCGGAAAAACTCGAAAAAAGTAAAAAATAGTCGAAAAAAGTCGAAAAAAAGTCGAAATAAGTCGAAAATAGTCAAAAAGTCGTAAAAAATCGAAAAGTCGAAAAGTCGGAAAAAGTCAAAAAGTTGAAAAAAGTCGGAAAAAGTCGAAAAAAGTCGAAAAAAAGTCGAAAAGTCGAAAAAAGTCAAAAAGTCGAAAAAAGTCGAAAAGTCGAAAAGTCGAAAAGTCGAAAAAAGTCGGAAAAAGTCGGAAAAAGTCGAAAAGTCGAAAAGTCGACCATTTATAAAATACTAAAAGTCGAAAAGTCTAAAAGTCGACTTTTAAATAAATGAAAAAGGTCGAAAAGTCGAAAAATCGACTTTTCATAAAATGGAAAAAGTCGAAAGGTCGAAAAGTCGACTTTTAACTAAATGCAAAAAGTCGAAAAGTCGACTTTTCGTTTCAACTATAGAACCCTAATCTGAATCAACTTTTAGTATGAAAACACTATGCTGCAACATTACTCTGCAGTTACACCTTTTGTGTTTTATGAGAAGTCGACTTTTTCGACATTTTTCGTCTTTTTCGATATTTTTGACTTTTTTGATTTTTTAGACTTTTCTCGACTTTTATTTGTAAAACCGATTATTATTTCTTACAAGATTGGCAATATTATTTATTGACTTTGTTAGGACAAAAAAGTTGAGTTACATTTATCGACATTTTTCGACAAAGGGCATTTTCCTCGATTTTGTAATGTAGATTTTTAAATGTTTATACTCTATATTTTATTGCTTTGAACAGTTTTAAAAGCACTAAAAACAATACACAAAGCACTATGTTGACAATGCTGCTTGAAACAAACAGATGCAACACTGAGTTGTTATTATTTTGCTGTCAAATTTGAATTTTTCAATTTGTGGCCGCAGCATTTTTTTTCAAGGCATCTGTTTTAATTAAAGGATATATATTTTTTTTAGTTTAAAAACTTTAATTAAAATTTTCGCAGTACAAAAATTATTAGGAATAGATCTAATAAAATGTATACACCCATAAAAAGACCCTGCAATAATGCTGTTAATGAAATGGCTTCACCACGGACGCCAGAGACGGCTTTGAGTTTTAGCCGCGAACTGCGTCAGGTGTTGCAGGAACGTAATCTATTGACGGTAAAAACTAGGAATAAGGGTAAGTATTTTAAAGGAGTAATCCATAAAAGAACTATGCTTTAATACAAGTATGTAGTATGTTCCATGTTGGCCGGTGGTTCGGGTAATTCACCCCTTACCTATTCACCCAATACGGAAATGGATAAAAGGCGTAATTTTCGTCTACAAGCGGTGCAGGAAATTATTACCTCGGAAAAGGCTTACCTGCAACAACTGGAACTTTTAATGGAGTATTTTGTAAAACCTCTCAAGGAACAGCAGCTTATAGATGATGCCAGTCATACCACACTCTTTGGTCAAATTGAAATGATACACAATTTAAATGGTGAATTTCTGAGAGAACTAGAATCGGACATGGATAATGTGGCCCAAGCGTTCCTTAAAATGGCTCCCTTCTTTAAACTTTATTCAGTTTACGCTTTCGACTATCGCAATGCTTTGTTAGTTTTACAGGAGTTGACTTCGAAAAATGCAGCTTTTCGTAAGTTCTTGGAAATAAATGAGTCTCGTCCGGAGTTGCAGCGTAAACTGAATTCCTTAATGATTGTGCCCATACAAAGAGTGCCACGTTATAAACTTTTACTGGAGCAGGTTTTACTTTATACCAGTCCTGCCGATGCTGATTTTAAGTTGCTTAAGGAATCGGTGAAACAAATTGAAAGTACGGTATCGCATATCAATTCCTGTGTAGAAGACCAAGAGGTTACACAATTGCTTATAAATTTACAAAATTCTTTAGTCAATCGTTCACCCAATATCGTTAAGCCTTCGCGCAAAGTTATTAGAGAGGGTGTACTGCATAAGGTCACCCGTAATGGCAGCGAAATAAAACGCTATTGTGTACTCATGTCCGATATTTTTATGTACTGTAAGATTATTAAGGAACGATCGCCCAATACTATAGTGGAAAACTCTTTGGAATGTTGTTGCATATTCCCTTTGAAGAAATGTAAAGTCTATGAGCTGTTGCCGGGTAATTTTAAAATTACTTGTCAAAGTGATGGCATTATTTTCGCTTCACAAGATTTGCAAGTGTGTCGTGCCTGGGTTGGTTTCATACGTGATGCTATTGACTTGCATATTCAGTGTCGCAAAACATTACGGAAGGAGAGCAGCAAACGTACGCCTTTAAGAAAAAAGGATAGCATTAAACATTTTGGCTCGGACTATATGTTGAGTCCAAAGCAAAAGAAATCGGTAAGTTGGAAATAAATTGGAAAGCTTTTACAAAATAAAGCTTTAGAAATTTATGTATATTAATTTTAATTTCCAACAGGAATACGATACAATATTTCGTAATAAAAATCGTGCCACAGATTCGGAAGACGAAACCGAAGTTGATTCATCATTTGTGGCAAAATCATGCTTTGGTGGTGGCGGCAAACGTAAATTAACTCCCTTTGCCACCACAAATATAATGGAAAAATCTAATACAAATCAAATTTGCAAAAGCGCCAACAACAATAATAAACCCCTTAAGAGAGCAGCTCCTATGCCACCTACCGTTCAACAAAATGAAGAACATATTTTACGTCATAAACAGCAAACAACCGTTACACCAGAAAAACGTTTATCGAAATTGTATAAATTTATATCGAATGATAAAATGCGCTCCAATACTCGAGGCATTCTTAAGAAAACTAATCAAAATCTCCAACAACAAAAGCAAAATGTCAATAATGTACAGCCTGTAGGCCATAATATCAATGATCATGATCCTACTTATGGTTTTGCCAGTCGTTACTCTGATTCAAAATCCTATTTTCGCACACAAAATGTAGACAATACTATACCTAGAGCGGTGCAAAGAGAAGATCTTTTGCAGGTTTATGTACCGGTGGAGGGAGGTGGTAACTTTCGTGATGTTTTATTTCCTCTCAGATCTAGTAATGGCAGTAATAAAAGTAATCATAGTGTTAAGGCCTCTGAGGGATCACAAGACGCTACTACAAATTGGTGTTTGCCAGCCTCTTTGAAGGAGAATTTTGAAGATATTAAAATATCTTCACCACCCCAAAAGAAACGAGTTAAATTTGATGACTCCTTGGATAATTTATATAAAGAACAGCCGCCAGCAGCTTTTGAATTTCAACGAGAAGTAGTAGCTTCTTTGGGAACAGGGGAGAGGACTGCTGAAGGCTCACGTAATTCCCTGCGTGAGAGAATTTATGATTTTTTTGCTAATTTATTTTAAATGATTTTTTTAAGAATTTTTTACTCATTTTTATACACATCAAGGAGATTATTTTTATATATACCTACATACATACATACACACATTTTTCTAAAAAGATTTTTTGTATTTTTTTAATATTAAACATTTCTTCTTTAACAAATAAAATTAAAAAACACTATTCATATAATTAACGCTTTAACTTGGTCCATGAACTTTTCAACAGCGGATTCACTTATTTCATTGCTCCACAAACCTTGCAGCTTAAAATGTGAACCTATAATGGCAGCTTGTATGTGAGGATAATAGTCCTTAAGATTGTCTTTTGTAATACCGGAACCTATCACTAAAGGTACTTGTAGTTTACCTTTTAATTCCAATAAATCTTGAGGTTTTGCCGCTTCTCCCGTAGCGTTACCTAGAAATCTCTAAATTCAGTCTTAATAGTGAAAAATTACCGAATTGTTTATACCCGTTATTATAACACCATCCGTTAAGAAGAACTCTGCCGCCTTGGCTGTCTCCAGCAATGTTACATCTTGTGTTATACTGTGAGCTGAATGTTTTTTCTTTAGATCGGTAAATATTAAAATATCTTTAGCATCAATTTGTTGGCGATATCTTAGTATAGAACCAGCACAAGCTTTTGTATAACCTTCATCTGCTACATGATCAAAAACAAAGCCTTCTGCTCTTATATATTGCAAATTACAGGCTTTGGCTACTGCCAAAGCTTGTTTATTGCCACAGGCTAATATTTGTATACCTATAGGCATGCTACTGGTTGGTATGATATTCCTTATTTCTTGAGATAAACGTGTCATACAGGCCACCGTTTCGGGTCCCAGTTCATGCTCTTGTATATAGGGTATGTCATGCATGTTTTCTATTAAAACTGAGTCCTAAAACAGGAGAAATTGCAGCACTATAAGGATCATTCTGAATAATGACTCCTCGAGTCAATAACCATTATATTTTTTTTTTCAACATTTTTCAAATTATTCATTACAATTAACGTTTTTCTTACCAATTTATATTTTTTATAAATATTAGCTTCATATTTAGCCTTTTCTATAATTTCCGACCAATTGCCTTTATAAAGAGGTGTACCTAATCATAAGTTAACAAATTTAAGTAATATATACGTTTATTTCATACAAAACCATAAATACTTACCCGGTAAAGCTTCCACATGGATCATGCCTATAATATTACATGTGGGCTTTTGAAAAACTTTTAAAAAACGTTGCATTTTACAAAAAATTACTATTAATTAAGCAAAAACTTAAAAATTAACAGTAATAGTAGGAATTTTGCCGACAACTTGTTGCTTATCAGTTATAAATAATAACAAAGAAAAATTACAATTAAAGCGACAAACTACAAAACATAAATGTTATACTTAAATTAAAACCAATACAACATATATCTAATTTATGTTATTATTTATTTTATATAATTTAATTGTGTCATAAACCTTATTTATTTAAAAACTACAAATTTAACTAGAAATTGTGAATAATAAAATAAGCAGACCTGGGATAAATGCATTAAATGAGTTAAAGCATTAACAATTTTTTCAACATTAAAAAAAATTAATGTTAATGCAAGTTTATTGCATTAACATTATCATGTCTACATTTATTGCATTATTTATACATTAACATTAAATATTTTTAAAATTAATGCATTAATTTTGCATTAACATTAAATATTTTTGAATTTTATGCATTTCCAACGCTGCAAACATCATAGTAAGGTGTCATCAATTTCTAGTGAATTGTAGTTAATTGTTGAAAAAGAAGAAGTTATCAACAAAAAACAGTTGCATTATTTTGCCGGTCGAAATCTTTAATTATTTGTAAATTATTTTTCAAAATGTCGACTTTAAAGTGTCCAGGTAAGTTTAATGTGACAATATATCTGTTCAGATGCCACAGGCTGTCTGAAAGATGAGTTGATATTATAGTAATTCCAATAAACTCAGACAATACTATGTGAAATTAAAATTACGGACAATCTCGAACTGTATCGGGTTGAACTCCCCCCGGGGCATGTTTCCTTGATGTATGACATGCTACCAGTACCTTTAATCTGTCCGGACTATAAACTTTACTCCTCGGCTAGTCCTTGGTATGATTTGACATGGGGTCTAACCGGAGCACCACATAATCTAGTTCTACGGGTGGCCAGTTGCCCACAGGACAGTGTCCTGACTGGTCAGGTGGTTGAGGTTCCTTCAGAATCAACGTAGTGGCTGTGGTTTAAACCTAAACTCGCAGGAAGGTGGTGCTTGGTTAAAAGATTGATACACGGTGAAATATAATTTTCATTGCAAATTTCTTTTATCGCCTATATTCTAGGAGCGGTACACACTACAGAGCATGACTGTGGATTAATAAAATGTTGGATTTGAGCTGATAATGCAATGATGGGGTATACGAGGTGTTGTTTGTACTTGTATCTGTTGGATTGTTGTATTCTGAGTTGTATTGAGGTTAGTCGGATGAATTTGACGGATGGAGTGATGGTTGGAGCAGCGGAGGAGATGTGCTCAATTGATGTTTGGCAAAACGGAGTGTAATGCAAGGTCGTCACTACCCTTTCTTAAATTTATCAGCGATTTTCCTTCATGGTTGAGTGTGTTGGAGTTTACTCTAAAACATGCTCAACTTATCACAGTAGGTCTTTGCGGCCACAGAAATAAGTCTTCACAATTAAAATTATTCGTGTTTCGGACTACCAATTCGTCCCCTAGGTGCTGTTGCCGAATCAACAAAGCCATCTCAGTAGTGTGGTTGGGAAACATATAAGGTTTTTCTTTGTCGGGGTTAGATTGAGCTTGCTCATGACAACTGTCCTTCTCCAACGGGAATACATCTCAGTAGTATGGTCGGGCGACATAAGGTTTTCCTTTGTCGGGGTTAGATTGAGCTTGCTCATGACGCCTGTCCTTCCCTAACGGGACTACTATGGCAAGAGATTAGATAGCTCGAGTACTTAAGTAAAGTGCATGTATACTGGACCGGAAATTTCATATACTTAAATAGCCACCGGCGCGTAAGAAACAATGGGGCGGTGATGAGTCGTTGCAAAAGCTCACCCAGTGGTTGAAATAGGCCAACATGGCAGGTGTTATCTATAAAATTGCGCCATGTAGTTCGCTTTACATGGAAAATACAGGTGAAATAGAAGAAAAGCTAAACCGCACAATAACTGTAGTAGTACTGAACTGATACTGGACTAAAAATGAACTGAACTAAAACCATAACGCACTAAACTAGAACGGAACTAATATACATTTTTTTACTCAATTATCAATATTTTACAAATTAGTCAATGATTATCACTGCTAGCCACACTGTACTTTGTTTTTAATTAAACAATTTCTAACAATTTAACTCCCTAGATGAAGTTTTACACTTTCCCAATCACATGAGCATAGAGATCAACTATCGGAATGCCATAACCTATTACAAATGTAAACAGTATGATGAGAAAGTAATGAATCAAGGCTTTATTTGGCATCAAATTGTTGTACAGCATTATGGTAAACTTATGGGTATAGAGGGTAAGTATGCCATACTGGAGGCCATATTTGCAGCGGTAGAGGGTGAAGAATTTTATCCCGTAGCCTATAGAGTAAGTTAAAGGGTATTCTTTAGAAAACTGTATAACAATAACCATATGTATATTAAAGCGTGGCAACAAAGAAGATCGTTTTTTGGTACGACAATGTCAACCAGCCATGGATAAATTATTTGCTCGAAACTTGTGCCTACATCTACCCAAAGGTGTTGTTATTCATTTGAAGGTACAATTGAATGTGGGAGAATTTAAATATGGTCAAGTTTCTCCCATAAGTCAGGTGACGAAAGCTTTAAATGCTTTGTATGGGCGCATGGAACATCGCAATGGTGAAGATGGTATTTTAAATTTGTCATTATTTGCACAAAATCCTGATTTTTATGATGTTGTCGTCAATCTGAGTAATCGGGGAGTTTTGGAGCGTGTTTGTGATTTGATTTATCGTAACGATGAGCAATTTCGTACTATTAATGGTATTATTTTAAGTAGTAATGAAATTAATACCTTGGCACCTTTGAAGCTGTTTAGTGGCGTACAATTTGCCATACTTGATTTGAGGGATAATATGGTGAGTTTTAGATCATTGCGTTTTCAGTTAAATAGTTATAAAAAAAATATATTTTCAAGTTACGTTCACCCAGTCGTACATGTCGTGATTTGGAACCTTTAAAAGCCGACGAATTAATGCTACAGGGCAATCCGCTAACAAAGGCAGTGTCATATCCGGAATGCTTAAGACCAGTATTGAAAAACTTTAAAAAAATTGTAAGTAAACAGATTTCATTAAACTTAAAATGGATGTAAAAATAAAAATTTATCTTCTAGGATGGTATACCCTCGGAAAATCTCTCCAGTGACTATACACCTCTGGATAATCTAATGCAAACAGAGTCTGAAGGTTATCGCATTGATTGGTCTAATAAAACGGATATAAATAAATTCGAAAACAGTACAGATTGGCATGCTTTTATGGTAAATTTGTATTAATAATTTTTACTTTATAAGAAATGTTTAACACTAATAACTTTTCTAAAGATTCCAGATGAAACACATCAATTTTCCAAGGAAGAAATATTTGATTATTTTTTTCTCACAATTTCCAATACCTTAAGTGATATTTATCCTTGTTATTATAAGGTAAATTTAAAAATTTTTATAGTTTTTAAAAAATTACTTTAAATTATAAAATTTTTTAGTTTAACTCTGGAGAGCATCAGTTTTTGGTGCGCAATTGTTTTTCTCAAATCAAGCACTTGGTTGATACTTGTAATTTGGAAATAAAAATACCCAGACTTGAAGCTCCACCGCCACCAACAAATACTACCACAGATTTCACACCACAGTTACATATGGATAAAACGGTAGTGTATTACCTAATGATGAATATAAGTCCATTTAAAAAGGGTCAACTAGAGCCTATGGAATGTATAGAAAAAGCTCTTAACAGACGTTTCAGTGCCATGGATCGTATGCTAGATTTAAATAATTTTCAAAATATAGAAGGTTAGTTTTTCTTGCAATATTATACTATATACTTTAATATTCTTAAAATTAATTACAGGTTTGGAAAACATTGTTATAAATCTTAGTTCCCCTAAGATTTTAACTCGCATTCTCATGCAAGCTTCACGTAAATTTCTCTCCACCTGCATTGAACTACGTTTGGCCCATAATAAGATATTAAGTGCAAATTTTTCGAAAGTTTTGGCCATGATGAGTAATTTAAAAGCCATAGATTTGGGTAATAATTGGATACATGATTTATATGATATCAAAGATATAGGTGTATTGGGTATTAGATCCTTAAGATTAGATGGCAATCCTTTATGTTCCAAGTACAGTTTTGCTGGTGAATATATCAAAACTGTTAAAAAATATTTTCCAGAATTGAAAATATTGGTAAAGTTATTTTTACTAAAACATAAAAAACACTTTTTAGGAAATTAATTTTATTATTTCAGGATAATGTGGAAATCACTGCCAAAGGTAATTTAACTTCTCAAAAGAATTTCCTATGTGACACAGCTGGCTATGATTTTGTTAATGAATTTGTAACACGTTATTTTCAAACATATGAAAATGATCGTGTTTATTTAAAAGGTAATTTTTATATATAAAATGTTATACCTGTAACAACTAGTTTTTTTTTGTTGTTTTCAGATCTTTATCACCCCAAGTCTATTCTAACTTTAACTTGCAACTACAATTTGGCCAAATTACCCGCACAAAATAGTAAACGTATTTTGAAATATTTAAATGTTTCACGCAACGTTCTTAAAATCGAATTTAACCGTGCTTATACATCGATGTATTTTGGTCCCAGTGAAATTATACGAGTACTTATGGAACTTCCTGGAACTACACATGATATGCTGACATTTAGCACAGATTGTATGGTGTATAATGTAAGTATATAAAATATATTATCCCCTATTGGGGGGTAAAAAGAAATAAAAAGAAAATAGTAAAAAATGGAAATTACTTAAGACCGAAGGTGGGTTCATTTAATCAAAATATTACATAACAAATTTTTCAAAATACAAAACCCACAACTAAATGTACTAAATAAATCAGAATACGATATTAAAAATAGATCTTTAAAATATTATTAAAATCATTAAAATAATACAAATTAAGAAAAACAATAATAGCCTATACTTTAATTAGATAAAAGCTTTTTGATTAAAAATTTAAAAATCTTCAGTCTTAATTGAAGCTTCGACAATTTTGACAAAATACAATAGAGTGGAATGATAAATTTCCATTAATGCTAATAATTTAATTTCTACAATCTTTAAGGAAAACATGATTGTTATTACTGTTAATGGCGTTTATTTGGATCAAGCACCTAGCATAATGGAAACCGATATATTAATGGGATTTTCACGTACGTTCATACTAAAGCCAGTG